TCCTTTTAAAATTATTCATACCCAAATAATTTTTATAAAAATACATTTTTTTATAGTAATTAATAATTTACCCCTTTATATAATAAAAAATATTTTATCCAAATATAAAATTAATAAATAAAATAATTATAATAAAAAAATCTCGTATAAAATTATTTCAACATCATATTCCATAATTTTTTATCCCAAAAGTAATCAAAGCGGTTCCCCAAAGCTATTTTCCGCTCCAAAACAATATTTCCCAAAATTAAAATACTCCCCAAACCTACTAAAGCTCCCCCTAATGTTATTCCCAAAATTGCTTTCTAAAACTACCCCCCAAAGTTATCATTCTTCAAAATAATTATCGAAATTATTTGTCAATATTATTATAAGATCGCAAAATTATTCCCAAAAATTATTTCCCAAAATTACTCTTCAAAATTATTATTAATATTATTCTATATATAAAATATTAAAATATTATATTATATTATATTATATATATATATATATTTTTTTTTTTTCACAAATTTTATTTCATTCTTATTCTTATACAATTATTATGCGGGTTACCCTAGGTAAAATCACTAGGGTAACCCCCCAAAATATTTTTTCAAAATTATTCTGAGGTACTTCTAGTACATAACCCACTACAAAATATTTTTTTTTTCAAAACACTCTAACCACCCCAAAATAATATCCTTTATCACTACCCACCTCCTCAAAATAATTTCTGAAAATTTGCAAATAAATTATTTTGTAGAGTTCTACTATTACTCAAAAACACTTCCCTTAGTTCAAAATAATTGTGGAAATTATTTCAAGGTGGTTCAAGATGGTTTTGGATAATTGAAAAAAACAAGTAGAACCACCTCAAAATAATTAGCAAAAACCCCCACAAAATTATTTTGGAGGTCACCCTACCTATCCTCCCGAATGCACCCGACAAGCATTGTCGGAATTTCCATAAACTTCCTATCGGAAGCTGCCATTGTTTTCTCGCATTGCTCTTTGGTGTGTGACGTTTCTACATCCATGCATGTTGCCTTTGATTCAGTTGAAAGGCCACATCCCGTTAACTTTAGATATTTTTACATGATTTTACATGTATCTTTACACCTCTGTGTGAATCCATCAACGCCATATTAAGACACCAGCCGGGTCCAAAAATCGATGGTCTAAATAAGAAGTGGTTCAGTAGTGAACCACCCCCAATAATTAGGTTCTCATGGTTTGATTCTTTCAGTCAGTTTGGGTCAATTTGGATCAGGCTTGGCATTTCTGACCTATTCCAGGGGAAGTTAAGTTTTGCAAGGTTAGGTTATTTGGATTTCTGGGGTGGTCTGGTAGTACCCCCACCCCCAAAATAATTTATGGGGTAGGAAGGGGTCGATTCAGATTTCTTTGTCCAAAAATCGATGCTCTAAATCATAGGTGGTTTAGTAGTTAACCACCACCAAAATAATTAGGTTCTCATGGTTTGATTCTTTCAGTCAGTTTGGGTCAATTTGGATCAGGTTTGGCATTTTTGACCTTTTCCAGGGGAAGTTGAGTTTTGCAAGGTTAGGTTATTTTGGATTTCTGGGGTGGTCGAAATGGCTGCAGATTGATTCAAAGAAGATCCTGACTGAACATGTTGAAATATGTAGTTGAAATTTCATGTAATATGCTGAAATTATTTTGCAGGTGGTTTGCAAGTACCCCCACCCCATGAAATAATTTTCATCATGGGTGTCTGGTAATTATTTTATACAGTTGGAACTATATGAAATAATTTCCCCAGTTCAACTGAGAAATTATTTTGAGGTGCCTTAAGTTGTTTGTTTAAAATTATTTCAAGGTGCTTCAACCTCTGTAGGTGGAAAATTATTTTGCACCATCATCAAGGTACGGGTGCAAAAATTATTTTGCTATGGCTCTTGTCGGGTAATTTTAACATAAAATTTATGTTAAAAATTGGAAATTATTAAAAAAAAATATTTTGGAACCAACCCCCACCTCAAAATAATTTCCTAAGGTAGGACGCATCAATTATTATTTCAATCGGTTAATACTTACTATATATATAATATTTAAACATATTTTAAATATATTAATTTTAGGATAATCCGGTAAACTATTTCGGACAAAGGCCCCTAAATATTACGTGAAACTTCTGGTGCGGATCAAGGGTAATCAAACAAAAATTGCCATTTCAATCAAGAAATGCGATTGCTTTTCAACACATCTTTTATTGTATCCCATTGTTGACCACAATCTGCACTGCTCATTCTGTGCCCTTGAAGATGACCAAGGTGAATATTCCCAGAAATCGCTAGTTCAATCCTATATGCTTGCAAATATTCAAATGCAATGATAAAAAACAAAGGATGAATCAAAGTAAATTCATCTTCGATCATCCCAGGGTCCAGCGCAGTGAATTTCTGGCCGCCAATCACAAGACAGCCTGGACAGATTAGATACATATCGATACATGCTGACAACTTCAGTCACTAATCGCAAGATATCACGAGCGTCAGAACAAATTCAAAGTACTTGCAACGCATCTGTTGACAGAGGAAAGGCCAGCAGGTCGCTGTCTCCCAAAGCGCCCAATCATCCCATCTTGTGCCTTGTTTAATGCTCCTGGAGCGCCTGTCCATGCTAGTTCATGCTGATTTCACGGGGGTTTAAGCTACGTGTTGAGGTGCGGAAGTCTTCCAAATTATACCAATTTGGAATGCCAACCAATACGTATGTGGCCATTGCAATTCAGAATCGTGGAAGGCGACGGCCATATCATCTTCAGCTTGGAATAAGACGACGTTGAAACCCCCATTCAAGAAACATAAATATACCTAATATATCAAAATTAATGCACACGTGTAATTACATCTATACACGAACGTTTTTGGGCTGGAAACGTGACAGCAGTTACCTAACTTGTGCGCATACTGCGCCCATCTTTGACCTGTATTAAAAAAAAATACTAGTTTAAAATCCTAAATATAAGATCCATTTGTCCACGCACACCCCTTGCAGACAACAATCCCCAGCCTCTGCTGGCGCGATTGCCACTGGAGCTACTTGATGCCTTGACATGCAGGTTGTCTGATGTAGGCAATGTGACAAACATATGACGGCAGCAAGCGCTCAAAACCATGCAACATGAATTGGAAACTTACTGAGCCTCCACCAGCTCTGCTTTGGCCACTTCGGCCTCTGCGTGCCGCATGCAGTCAGAAAACATATCAAAATTAGTGAGCCGAGGAAACCCAACACCAATGCCGCGCGGCCAGTCAAACCATGTAGATTCATTTTATGGTCACCCAGTTTCAAATCGTTTGGGGTTGCCGTTTTAGCTGCGCCCCCGACAGCCTCGTCTGCAGCTGCAAGCTGAATCCTCCGCAGGCTCAACCGAAGCAAGCCGCCGTTGTGATCGAACAATTTGCCAAGCAGATCGCTGTCCTGATCGATGATGAGCCAAGAACAGCCATTTATCCCGCATTTCCATGTCACTTCATGGAGGCCTAAGTCACATGCAGCAGTGAGCCTTGTAGATTGCGGTGCAATCGCAGGTCCCAACTCCGGCAACCATCAACCGTGGAGTGAGTCGAAGGCTCATGGCTCACACGTGTCACGTCCTCGAGTTTGCGCCCGGCTGCTTTCACCTGCCTCACACCACAAGCAAAACGCATACTTCAACAGCAGTCGAAATTTGAAACACGCACATGTCACTTGTGATTGCACCCGCTAAAACATCGAACTTTGCCAATCTGCCAATCTCTCGCGCATTTTTCCGCAAAACGGGGAAAGACTTCATGAATCTGCCGGACCCTGCCCATCTCACCACGTTGCCGCATGCACTTGCCAAGGTGCAGGTCTTCAGGTTTCACATCCAGGTTCAGCAGTACCGGAAGGATCCTCAGTTCCAATCGGACAACCCGCGGAACCCCAAAGCTCATCAAATGTTGGCCCTGAAACTGCGGATGTTGCGGAATGTGGCACTGACATTTGATCCCATGCGAAACGCCATCTAAAAACCATCACTTTGTCAAAATTGGTAAGCTTGTGCAAACCAACAGCTTTGAAAGTCGTCATCGAAACAAAACCGCGAATTAAGCACGATACTATGCACGTGGCCCCCCGCTGAAGAAAACGCCTTCAAATCAAACCATGGAGCCATGTAAGCATCAACCAACAAGAAGGGAACAGCGCTGAGCGGCTGTCCGCTGGGAGGAGCATTTCTTGGTACAAAAGATTGTGAGGCCCTGGTTTCCCCCTGCGCCACTTCGTTTTCAATCAACTTGTCAAGATTGGTGGGGGCCCGCAGCTACAGTAATGACAGCTGCAAGCAGGTGTCCCACGGAGCTCTTGGATCGTCATGACACGTGGCAGCTTCTCTGTGTTGCTCGCCTCTGGCAGTCCTGAAAAATCAACGAAGCCCAGCATGGAGCTGATGCTGGTTGACCATCAAGGAGCGCGGGCTGGCGCAAGTTGTCCTCTTAATCTCCTCTCGCTGGCGTCCTGCAAATCAAACTTTCTACCTTGTCTTGGCCAAACTGTGCCCTGTTCTGGTTGAACGAAGCAACAGTGATTGTAGCTAAATTGGTGTGGATGTGTGGATCGCTGTGAATAGGTTGCAACGCTTGCCTCCGCTCTGCTGCCTCCATCAAAAAATGCGCCACTTTCTGGGTTGAGATGAATTCCCTGCAACTCTGCTGTTCCATGCTACTAGATTCCATCCTACATGCCAACAGAACGCCATTCCTGAAAAATCAATACGACCCACCATCATTCACACTTATGTCATCTTCTTCCTGATGTTTTCTCTAACTGTGTGGGTATCCCCTGCTCAGAATTGCACCACTCTACTACCATTAGTTACTGACTGGGACAAGGAGCCAACCCTATGCTTCAATGAATTAATCCACGTGCATTCAATATATTTTTTTGCGTGCGTAGGACCATTTCTTTGGAAGGGCGCGGCTTCTAAAACTGGAAACCGCTAAAACCCATCAAAACTTTGAACAGTACAGTAACACCAGTTCGTAGCACCCCCAATTCTAGCTGGCCAAGTGACCAAGATCGTCTTGGGCCTTTGAAACCAGTATTGAATATTCAGTTACCTGCTGGCCCTAATGTAACATGAGCGAGGAGCCTGAGGGGCCGCCTTTATGGTATACCTGGAACGTCGAAAGGACGCACATCATTGCCTTTTGCAACATTTTTGCCCTTAGGCGGGATTCTTGACATGGACTTGGAAATGTTCTGGCCATGTGAACGGAAATACCCAGGAAAAGGGCCGAACTAAACTTGCCGGGCAGGATCAAGGTGATTGAACAAGTAATTGCAAATTCTAGTGGGAAGATTTTTCTGAACAGTGATGAACATGGATTCATGGATGTTTTTATTTTGAATTGGACAAATCGAGAAAACATAATGCCGGGTCTCTGAGAGGCTCGCGACTGTTGCCACTTTTAAAACATATTATTATAGGGGAATGAAAAGGATCATTCGTGTCAGCATCAGCATCAGCATCAGCATCATCATCATCATCATCACCATCAGCTTCATCTTCATCGTCGACATCGTCAACGTGCAAGCGCAAGAGAACGGACAGCAGCGAAGCGTGAGGTGTGCAAGAGAATGGACCGCAGAGAGAATGTACAGCAGCTTCGCGTGACACATGTGTGCAAGCGCAAGAGAACGCGCAGCCGCACAGCAGCCTAACATAACGTGTGCGTGTGTAAGTGCAAGAGAACGGGCAGCAGCGTAGCATGACGTAAGTGTGTGTGTGTACACCGTTATAACAAACGGTTTTAGTTCTGTTTATTGCGCTTGTACAATTCTCAAAAGCAGGGGGCAGAGGTACCCATGTCATTTCCTCTGCCAACGAAGCTGGGTGACATGTGGTAAGGATATAGATCAGGGGCGTCTGATCTACGTACCTGCTATAGTTTCAACTGTTGACTTTCTGTTCTTGTTTATGAGCTGTGCGTTGTTTCTTCGATCGCGAATCTGGGTCCACTGAAATTCTACTGCCAGGCAACTCAGGAAATCAGGCGAAGACTATGACATCATTCACACTTTTTACTTACCATTACCCCACAGTGTGTCCTGGGTGTTTGACCTGACTTGGTCGCACCGTCGGTTGGTTTCGACCAATCAAAAAGTCATGAGCGGGCATTTTCCCGTATTCCGAGTGGAGTATGAATCTCCGAAGCCGTATGCACTTCGAGTGCATTTCAAGCGTCATATGACGGAGTCAAGATTTTACACTGTAAAATCCAATCGAAGCAGCCATAAGGCGAAGAAGCCATAAGGCAGAAGTTTTCGTCCAGTTCGGACAAAGCAGACGTAAGTCGAAGTTCCCAGCACCACGGGTGCAATACAAGTGCTTTTGGTCTGGTCGGAGTCTCAGTAGCATTTTCACCTCACTCGTCATCGTCATCAGGTTCTTTTTAGGCCATGTATTCATTCTCTTAGGCAGGCTCCTTAGGTTTGTTTTTCCAGGTATAGAAATGTTTCAACGTTTTGTTTCTCACATCACTCGTCATCGTCATCAGGTTCTTTTGAGGCCATGTATTCATTCTCTTAGGCAGGCTCCTTAGGTCAGATTTACTAGGTATAGAACATGGTTCAACGTTTTATTTCTCACATCACTCATCAGCGTCATCAGGTTCTGTTTAGGCTATGTATTCACTCTCTTAGGCAGGCTCCTTAGGTTACTATATAGCAAACAGTTTAGTTTTGATGAATCTATCATGTTTTGATGAAGCAGGGAATTTTGTTATGCAGATTGAGCCGAAACTTGTCGGAACCGTTTCGGTCAAGAGCTCAGCAACAACTCAAGCTCATTCTGCAGTTTCGGAACTCAGAATTTCCACTTGCCAATGTACCTGTACGATTATTTGTTCTTGACGATGAGATGGAATTACAAATGAGGTCTTGGCTGAAAGGCTTTATCGTACAGTCTTGTGCATCGTTTTCTTTTTGAACTCAAACGTACAACTCTTGCATACGCATTTTCTTAAATGTTAGGATTTACGACTTATTGAACACGGTTTAACTTTTTGCTTTTCACATCACTCGTCATCGTCATCAGGTTCTTTTAGGCCAGGTATTCATTCTCTTAGGCAGGCTCTTTAGGTCAGTTTTCTTAGGTAAAAACTAGGCGGTTTGCGGTTTTGCCCCATTTCGGGGCCATTGTGTGTGTGTGTACACCGTTATAACAAACGGTTTTAGTTCTGTTTATTGCGCTTGTACAATTTCCCAAAAGCAGGGGAACTAGGCGGTTTGCGGTTTTGCCCCATTTCGGGGCCATTGTGTGTGTGTGTACACCGTTATAACAAACGGTTTTAGTTCTGTTTATTGCGCTTGTACAATTCTCAAAAGCAGGGGGCAGAGGTGCCCATGTCACTTCCTCTGCCAACGAAGCTGGGTGACATGTGGTAAGGATATAGGTCAGGGACGCCTGATCTACGTACCTGCTATAGTTTCAACTGTTGACTTTCTGTTCTTGTTTATGAGCTGTGCGTTGTTTCTTCGATCGCGAATCTGGGTCCGCTGAAATTCTACTGCCAGGCAACTCAGGAAATCAGGCGAAGACTATGACATCATTCACACTTTTTACTTACCATTACCCCACAGTGTGTGTGTTTGCGTGTGCGCAAGTGCAAGAGAACGTACAGCACCGTCGCATGACATATGTGCAGTTGCAAGACAACGTACGGCAGCGTAGCATGACGTGTGTGCGTGTGTGTGTGTGTGTGCAAGTGCAAGAGAGCGGACAGCATGGTAGCATGATGTGTGTGTGTAACATCTGAATAGATGTAAATCTTCTGTTATACTTCCTGTTCATATATTGCGGGGGGCCTGAGGCTTCTCAACAGGACTCAGGCCAACGAAGATGCCTATTGAGAAGTGTGAAATCATTCTGGGACGCCAGAATGACGTACCTGCCATCTGATCCTGTTCGACATTTCCTTCTTGATGATCGACTATTTTATATCCATGGACTACCTAGGCTCGGAAATCTGGTTTGGATGCACGTTAAAGGGATTCAGTTCCCAACGGATCACTCCAATGATCCAGTTCTTGTCTAGTGTGAATTCCATGGTGGCCCCGACATGGTGCCATGGACCCATTTGAGGGAACCCTCTTTAGGGTGAATGCTGACTGACCGACTTCCGAATTTACACATTTTAATCTAGTAATTCGTTTAAGTATTGTGAAACAGCTGGCCATTCCGTTCACCACTTTTTTATGGCGTCTCGCCGCTCCTGCCGTCCTTGCGAACCCTGGGACAATTTCGACTCGGCTCAGTTGAAGCTGTACGGAACGGCCAAAAACTGTTTTATTCCACCACAGCGACAGAACAACTGCAAGGATCCATGAAAGGTGTCAGGTTCATGCCTTCAGGTGTGGCCTACTTTCTTTTGATGTTTTTCTGGTGAGGTTGAACGTATCGTGCACCTAATTCGTCTGAACTTGAACAGCTGTTTGAGTCCATGTGGCTTGACCGACTTCCGTCCCCTTGAGGGAGTAACGCGCGACTCTTTAGGATAGAACTGAATCCCATTAATTGTTGTTGTTTTCTCACTTCTCTTCATCAACTAGTTCCCCATTTGGTCCCTAATTATCCCCCGTGCCCCTCTGTAATGTGTCGTGGGGTTTAGGTGTGTGCTCTGTGCTGGTGAGGCCCGTTTCGCCGTGTAGGTTGGTTTTGGAGGTCCGTTTGTTCCCTTCCCCCCCCTGCGCTGTTGTGGCCTTTTGCCCGTCGTTTGTGTCCTCTTTTTTCTTCCTCTTGCCTTTCAGGGTTGACCCGGCTCCGGCCGGGTGTGTGTATGTGTGTGTGTAACATCTGAAAAGATGTACATCTTCTGTTATACTTCCTTTTCATATATTGCGGGAGGCCTGAAGCTTCTCAACAGGACTCAGGCCAACGAAGACGCCCGTTGAGAAGTGTGAAATCATTCTGGGACGCCAGAATGCCGTACCTGCCATCTGATCCTGTTCGACATTTCCTTCTTGATGATCGACTATTTTATATCCATGGACTACCTAGGCTCGGAAATCTGGTTTGGTTGCACGTTAAAGGGATTCAGTTCCCAACGGATCACTCCAATGATCCAGTTCTTGTCTAGTCTAGTGTGTGTGTGTGCATGTGTGCAAGTGCAAGAGAGCGCACGGCAAAGTGGCAAAGCACATTATTAGCCCACCCCGCCCCACCCTGTTGAGACTCATATGCAAAGTGTTGTCACACAGTTGCGAGCCTTTTATAGACCCGGCACCGAAAACATGGACACGAATCAAAACACAAAATCCGCCCCGAACTGAAAATTGTAACCAGTGAACATCCAGGTGTGAAGCCCGACCTGGCCTTGACAACCAGTCCCGCTAGGAAAAAAATGTTTTCTGCCAACATGTGTTTTGCAGCCAGCCTGTTGTGAATTCCGCCTTTTGTCCAGATATAGAGGAAAACCGCGACGCGAATCTGAGTCTCAAATGTGCAAGTTGTGGGCTAGCAGCAAGCGTGAATAACCAAAGACAATTTTTCCATCTAAAATTGAACTTGCCTTTATATGTGAATGTCTGAAAAGTCATTAGCGGGCGGGACGTGGGGCCCAAAGGGTGCCAAATATTTATGTCTCCATCACTATCCAAATCCGAAAACACATATGGGTTTACAGTTTACACGGGTTTGGAATGGATTTACCCCGTAGATCTCCATGAATATCTACAACTATGGGGATATCCCATTCATATCCGTGAGTCTCCAAAATCGATTGGTTTTATCTCAGCTCTGAAATCATCCAAAATCAACGTATCCTCTGTCCTGGAGCCTCTGTTTTGATGATCACCTCGACTTGGTTGTGCATTGCCAAAGCTTCCTGCAGGCGATGGCTGGGCCCAGGTAGAGCGAATTCGCCACATCATGGCATGGTCATCTGTCGGATTAGGACAGGCATTAGAAAGGCGCAACTCCGCAATCTTCAGGTGATTTTCTAAGGGATGGTCCAGTTTGAAATATCTTTAGATTGCGTATTCGAGGATGGGCGCTGTTTTGCGCATCGTCCGAATCGTCCGCACGGTTTATGGGGACAGGACTTAGAACTTGGAACAAATGTTCACCATCATATCAAGAACTGGTTGCTGACTGAGCCAATAATGAACCCATTAGAAATCATTGAAATCATCATCTCATCCCAAGGGATAAAAGACCTAGAAGGCCTAGAAAAAAAGTTAAAACATGTGAAAACATGTTAAAAAAACCACCACCCAAACAACGTCGGGACGTGCAAAACAGTCTCCATCCTATCCAGCCAATGGCCTCTCCGGATGCAGAATCTGCAACCGCCGGGGGAGTCGTCCTGGTGTTGCAACAATTATTGGGATCATCTCATGACATAGCAACGAAGATTTTTTCTTCGTTTTCGCTGCGCGTTTTGAACAAGATGATTTGAATATAACATGTACAGAAATATGCTCATGGGATTCCATTAAAAAACCATATTTGGGGGTGCCCCATTTATATCATTTGTAGAAACCCGCATATACACATGTTGTAAGATTTTGTTCCAAACGTTTCTGGTACTTACTCGAAAAGGGCCACACCAAACGGTCCATTTCTCACTAAGTCATTGAAATTGTCGGCTTTTCGTTGAATTTCCCACCAAGCACCACCAGGTCCCCCTGTCACGAGATTCAGGACATTCAACTGCGAGAAGGTGCGGAAGACCGAGGCGGCGGCAGCTGGCACAGCTGTAGCTGGGCTGTCCCAGGGCTGGGAGCCATCTCTGATAGGTGGGATATTCTGTGAGATATGTGGGACTGCATGTATCTGCATGAATGAGCTGTACCTTACGCTGTACATCATGTAGATGCATTCAAATGATTTCATATACATAAAAATATTATATCTAAATCAGACAATGGATATATTACTGGCATTTACTGGCCAACAAACGCCGTGAACCTGGGGATGCACATTAATCAAAAATGACTGCTTGGGGTGTGGCTGAGCCATCAATAACATAGGTTAATGTGTGTGTGTGTCTGTGTGTGTGTAGCGGCTGTAGAGACGTAAAACGTCTTTACTTGTACAGTGCATTGCATGGGGCCACCGGGGTCCAAGGGGGTCGGTGGCCAACGAAGACATTCTGGGTATCTATACCTGCTTTAAGATATATTATCGAAGGAAGTTTAAAAGTCAAACTTCCGACAATATGGACAGATGGAAAAGCAGAGGTGGCAAGAGTCAGTGAAGAGAAGAGCAGAAGAAAGAAGATCAGAGAAGAGAAAGAGTCAAAAGAAAGAAGATGCAGGTGCGCGAAAAGGTAGAAAAGTCGCAGATGAAAATTTGCACGCCGCTGTGGCGCGAAGCACATTTTGAACTCAAAAGTGTTAAAAACTGCCGGGTTCGGACCACTTTTGGAAGTTGTGATGTCGAAAAAGTGCACGCCGTTGTGGGGAGAAGCACATTTCCAAGTCAAAATGTACAAAGCACACCATTTTCAGACCACGTTTGGAAGTTGAGATGTCGAAAAAGTGCACGCCGTTGTGGCGCGAAGCACATTTTGAAGTCAAAATGTACAAAGCACACCATTCTCGGACCACTTTTGTAAGTAAACATGTCGAAAAAGTGCACGCCGTTGTGGCGCGAAGCACATGTCCAAGTCAAAATGTTAAAAGCACCACATGTTCGGACCACTTTTGGACGTTCAGATGTCGTTCCGTGTGGCTGGCGGAAGGGATTGTGCACCTTGTCAAAAGTCAGCAAAACGTGAAGGTTTTGTAGCAGTTTCAATTACAACCACCACCACACTACACTACACTCCACTACAACTACAACTACAGCTACACTACATTACGCTACACTAAAAAACATACACTACACTGCACTCCATTACACTACACTACACTACACAAATATACACAAATTACATTACACTACACTAACTACATTACGCTGCGCTACACTAAATTACACTACACTACGCTACGCCACGCTTCGCTACGCTACACTAACTACAACTACAGCTACAGCTACAGCTACAGCTACAACTGCGCTACATTACACTACACTACTCTACACTACACTAATTCTACTGATATATTACACTACACTTCACTCCATTACACTACACTACGCTAGACTAGACCAGACTAGACTAGGCTACACTACAGCACGCAACACTACAGCACACTACACTGCACTGCATTACATCGCGCTACACTCATTACACCACACCACAACTACAACTGCAACTGTGCCACACTAATCACACTACACTACAACTACAACTCCACTACAGTTACAATACAGCTGACACCACACTACATCCAGCAGTTGGGGGTGAGGTGACCAATGCAACCATTGCAATCACTTCAAACAACACAACTCCAACCACCTTTCCGTCCATCAGTGGGTTCGCTGTGCCATCCATGCATCACGGCAACTCACTATCTTTGAAACTTCAGCGACTGCCTTGTGCGGTACTACTGGTATATACATATACATATATATAGTTCCGCCCCTGGGCGCAAAAAAGTCGCAGCTGGAGGGTATATTTTATCGCTGTTGTTTTATATTGTCATGGTCGACCGTGATGAATATATATATATATATGTAATTTTTATTGTGGTTCGTCCTTTGTTTTTGTTGTTGTTGTTGCTGCTGCTGCTGTTGTTGTTGTTGTTTTGCACGTCAGATGCATCTCAACATATCAATTCAAAACGACAGTTCTGAGCAAGTGTGTGACTCATGCCGGATTCGACAAGATGGCATGGCATGAGCCCTTCGGCCCTTCGGGGAATACCTTTCCAGGTAGTAAGTTGGATCCGTGAGGTACTAACTCGTCAAAGTAAAGTGAAACTCCATCGCCATACTGTTGCTCGCCTTTTTCTGTCGATTGTCAAAATTTTGAACCGCTGGCTGCCGTTTGGAGCTCCGCCTTTTCAAGCCTTTTCACCTTGTCGGTCGTCAAAGTGTTGAAGAGCTGGCTGCCGTTTTGAGCTTCGACCATGCTTCCTAAGCCGTCGAACGCCATGAAACAACCTTTTTTGATCTTTTTTGCGGATCGGGTGAAATTCACATGCACATATAATTTCAATGGTGATCATGCCAGCCGGTCGAGGGGTTGAAAGGCATCAGGACATGTCTTTCAGGTGTGGTCACTTCCTTTTGGTTGATCTGGTGAGGTCCAAGTGTGCACCTGATTCACAGGGGTGATTACTTAAGCTGTTCAATGGGTGACGAGACAACGGAGGACCCTGATTCTTATCACGAACTTGCATGCTTGTTGATTGATTGGATCTCCATGGATCTCCTCTGGCTGGTGGCTGGCAGGTTGGCTGGCTGGGTTTCTCCAGTTGGCTGGCTGGCCTGGCTGGCATCAACTAGTCCCCCATGGGTCCCTTATTTCATGCATGCTCCCGCGTTCAGTTCATTATAGGTCAGGTTGGGGTCCTGCGCGTGCCGAGGTATGCTTTGGGCCCTCGTCTTGTAGGTTGGTTCAGGAACTTCTGTCCTCCCTCCGCTGGTCTGGTGTTTGGTCCGTCTTCCGTCCGCCTTTTCTTTTCTCTTGCCCTTACTCAATGCCGGCGAAGGTCCCCCAACGTT